ATTTCTGTAGATATGTCACCCTCAAGAAGTGAGAGCGTAACTTCTTACTCCTTATATGTGGGGTTCATATAATAGCTTCCTTCCGGGCCGGCCTGGTGGCGCACTGGAGAGTGCGCCACTTGGGAGTGTGGCCGCGCTCCCGCCGAGGGTTCGGATCCCATGTGGAGACCGGTTCCCACTCACTGGCTGAGCGCGGTGCGGGCGCAACACCGAGGGTTGCGATCCCGTTCCCGGTCCCCGGTACGAGTGCAACGCCAAGGGTTGCGATCCCGTTACCGGTCAGTAAAAAAAAAAGACAAAAAGGGAAAAAACAAAAAAAACAAAAAACAAAAAAACAGCTTCCTTCCAAAGTGCATAGTAGGGAAAGAGTGAAGGGGAAGAGAGTAACTTTACTACAGAAAACCTCAACAAATACCACCTCAGCCGGATGATCAAAGTCCAATATCAATGGTCATAAGTCATGTTCAAAGGATGTACATATGCTTGATGTGATGCAATGAAAACAGCACTTGACCTCTGTAGTTTTCCTTCTAATAACCCATAACTCCATTCCTATCATGAGAAAAACATCAAATTCCAGGAGTGGTGATGTTGGATGTAGAGGTCCAGGCAGCCTGATAGTCAGCCTCAAGCCACCCAGGCCTCTTACCAGGTTCTTGACCTCCGCTACAGGAAAGAATTCAAGGGCAGAGTCACAGAAGTGAGAACAAGTTTAACATAACAGAGAAGAAATACAGGTTCCACAGAGAGAGTGCAACATAGCTCTGGAGACTGAACAGTAGAGTGTGGCATAGCTCCAGAGACTGAGCAAGGCACCCACACCAAGTTTAACACAAAAGTAAGTTCAGTACAGACATCGAGTCTAACACAAAAGCAAGAAAAACCTACTCAAAGTTTAGTAAAAAAAATGCGGGCTGGCTCAAGAGAATGAGGAGCTGCTTGCTTAAAGTAAGTTTGATACAAAGTATACACACCTCAGCCAGGGAAGTGCAGGTTGCCTCCAAGAAAGTGAGCAACGGACCTCGCTTTCTACTTGGATTCTGCTGAGAAACTTTACAGTTTCTCTATCTAACCAATATGCAAATAAAAGGGTGGCTCCCACTTTTGTAATATTAAGTCTTGCACATGCTCAATTGGTCTCTTCCTGGAGCATTTTCATTGCTTAGNAAAAAAAAATTTTGTTATAATATGGGTCTGTCTTGGAATTAAACCAAGGGTTTAATTGCTTTAGAGTGCAATGGACCATGCCTTCACTGGGCCCATAACATAGAGCCCAAGAGTATCATAACAATGAGAATTTGTTCTAATCCAAGTTTTAATTGATTGTGCAGTGCATATTATGAATATGACCAGTCTAAAAGCATTCGTACCCATTATGAAATGGTACATTGTCAATATCCAAATTTGTTTTTGTGGTATTTTGATGGACATATGTAATGTGCTAGGTATTACATTAAATTTCCAAGCAAGAGACTTCAAGTAAAGGGTGTAGACCAGTTTGCAACTCTCTTGTCTTGGAATCTATTTTTCATGGTAATTTGGAAATTTTAATTTTCAGTACCTTTGATTTTCATGGTCTTTCAAACTAGACAGCAGATCCTTGCGATAATAACATAACTCTGTGATTGCTTGAGACCCTAGCAGACTGAGAGGGTCTGGCATGCAGTGCCCATGAGACAGTGACGTGAGACCACTGTGAACACTTCACACAGAGCCTAGTGTACAAAACCCAAAGCAAAAGTTTCTGTTTTCTTAGGTTAGTAGTTCTCTAACTTTGCTGCATGTTAGATTTTAAAAAGCTGATGCTCAGACTGTACCTCAGACCAATAAAATCAGACTTTCTGGAAGTGGGAAGCAGGCATTGGTAGTTTTTAAATTTCTCTGTGATTTTAATGTGAAACCAAGTTTGAGAGTCTGACCCTTGCTTCTCAAGCTTTAATATTCATACAAAGCACCTGGGGATCTTGTAAGAAGGCAGATTTTAATGAGATAGAGATAGGCCTGGGAGTCTGCATTTGTAAAATCTCCCAGGAGA